TTTACCTTACCTTCCGTCGACTAGAAAAAAAAACTGGATTGTTCATGTCAATAAAATTTTAACAATGCTTCATATATAAAATTGAATATGAAACATTTAAGTTAACATTAATATTTACACAGCACAAATGGTGAGCAGGGAGGTGAGTGAGTCGGCAAAAAACTCATCAATTGAGTAGAAAGCCATATCCCTTAGCCATCGCACTAAAACACGTTCAAAGCGGTTCTTCTCAAGCAGCATCAATTGGAAGCCTGTTGAACATCTTCAACGCCAAGTCCGGGAAGTGCTTTGAAGTCTTAACTAGCTTGCGCCTCAGGATGTCCAGATTAGATCTGCTTCTTAAGTAGTGGTCATGAATTTTGCTTTTGGTGGTGAAGGAGGCCTCATGTCGCTTAACATATACCAGTGAAACCAAGATGTAGTTTGATGGTACGGTGAGTATCCCCAAACTCTGAAACAGGGGCAGGCAGTGAACTAGGTACCTAATCACTTGAGGTGATAATCCTCACCCCTGCTTGTGGCACTCCGAATGTTGCTCTTTGGGCTTAGAAAGTGAAGTGACAGTAGATTTTAGCTGATCTGGATCAGGGTGAATAGTGTTATGAGAAACTAAATGTCCCAACAAAGTTATTGAAGTGTGATTGAACTTGCTCTTTTCATTGTTGATTACAAGGTCCTTACTTGGTTACAGCATGTTAGCATCTAAGAATTTTCTTAGATAATTTAAAACTTTCCCCATACAAAGGGGCGTCATTTGGGGGGGGGGGGGCGTTCGCCTCCCCCTGGATCCTGGGCTAGAGAAAAAAATATGCTGTACTAGCCAATATACAAATATTTTCTGTCAAATCCTAAAAAGCACAGCAGACAGAAATCTGTATATTCTTGTACAGTAATTTGAAACAAAAATTATTATTGTTTTATTGTCTTAGTGTAAAAACATACAGACAGCGTAGCGTAGCGCAGGGCAGCGCATGTTTTAAATCAAACCCGTGCATTGGCAAAACCGAGGTATGACATACTAGTAGCGTATTTCGGCGTAGCGCAGCGTACGACCGAGGAACAAACTATTTTGTTTTTCTCAGAGCGTATTGGAGCGCATTCGACTGCAGACACACTTAATAGCCCAGTCATAATCTAGGTTTTTACCCGGAAATGAGAGATACAAAGCTAATTTTCCCACAGATGTCCGTTATAGTATGTAAAATCACACCCTAAAATTCCCCGCCCGTCCCCTGTTTTACCGAAATTAAGGGGGGGAGGGGCGCGACTTATTAGACGTGTCCGTGAACGTGATAACTTGAGTAATTTTGGTCCGATTTTGATTAAATTTGGCTTGAAGGTGTGAGATGGGACAATCTTGAATGAGTTGGCAAACCAGCATGATCGGACCATGGGAACACCCGTTTATGGGGGTTTTATGGGGTAAAAATTTAATTTTCTCATTTTTGACCCTCAAAACACAAACATTTCTAATTCCTCTCCAAACCATTTTAAAAAGGTTAAATAATCAAATTTTATAGTATATTAAAGTGTTTTTGTAAGGATATTGGTTACGAAAAAAATTCAAAAAGTTATAAATTTAAAATTCCCGTGTTATTCTTAAAGAGAATGAGAATAAGTTAGCTGTTGTAGTTTGCTTGTTTACGGATATATTTTCATCAAACTTGGCAAATCAACTTAATTTATACTAAGCTATTGATATTTTACTAAAAACGTACTTCATTGCCCTCCCTGTAGCAGCAAACCTAGGTACTTGTTTGACATAATGTTATTTAAATAGATTTAATTAAAAATCTAATCGGTCAAATGGAAATTTGCTTAGTCTGCAGGTTTGCTGAGGTGGGGGTATTTTCATACAAAGTTGCATTGTCCTAAATTTACTTTATCAATGGTTTTCATCAAAACATCACTTATTTTTTACTTAAAAAGTATATTTAAGCTGGTAATAGTATGAATAAAAGTAGATAAAGTCAATAGTCTCTTTTCTGCACCAATTGGTCTCCTCCAATTAGTTGTCAGCTTCTCTCAATCATCCTTCACCAAACTAAATATGTAATCGAACGTTGTAGTCGACATACTTGTGTAATTCATAAACCGAGACTCGTGTTTCCTAAGGATTGGAAATAAGATGTATTCACCATGTTTGTCCCTGCCTTTACAAACTTCGTGCACCCCGACACTTCTACTGATCAAAAACTGCTACCTTAAGGTATATTCGACAAAACTTATACGAGTCGTCTTCGAAAGAGCCATCCTCTATACTGATGTACCTTTAAGACCGCCTACAACCTATAATGCGCTACGCTACGCTGCGCCCTCTGTGTGTATTGGACAAAGCTGCGTTCGGCTACGCTACCCTGCGCTGCGCTACGCTACGCTGTCTATATGTTTCTACACTTAGATAGCACATTTTGAGTTAACATAAATTATAGTAGTTTTGTTATTCATTCACTTTTTCTGTTTGGTGCTGTACGATAAACCACTTCTAGTTTATATATATACATAAAAATTCAGATTTTTTAGAAGCATTGCTTTGTTATTTACTTTTATGAATTATTCAAGCATTAAAATTATACATGTGTATAAATTTTACGTAATTTATTTTGAACTGTAGACTACCAATTTAATATGGTTAAATAGAACCTTTTGTACTTTTGTGTCAAATTATTTTATTGGTGATAAAATTTGATTTGCTTTTAAGTTCTTAAATACTTGTATTTTATTTAAAAACCAAAATAAACTGTTATAAACTATAGGCTATGAACAACCGTATTCATTGCTAAATGTTGTACAAGAGAAATTGGTCATGAATCTAACACCAAACATATTACAACAAATATTAATACATCATGGAACTATTGATCACGTTTCTTAGATGACTAACTTACTAACATAAAATTATTGTGTTTCTGTCTGTTGTCAATAATTCTTAATTTCATTAACTTTCTGCCTAAATTTAAATAAATTTTACTCATAATTTTTTTTTCATTTGAAGTGCTTTTGACAATTAAAATAAGCTTAAACCCCTCTTTTTTGTTTAAAAACTGCCCAATTTTCCGGGGGGGGGGGGGGGCCCGGACCCCGCCCTTGTTTGCCGGGGGTATTCCATACCCCCCGGTGTTTGCCCCCTTAAGGATTTGGTGAAATGACGCCACTAAATGGCGACCATACCAAGTAGGTATTTTTAGGCAAGTATGATTGGAGATGAGTGTATGATGAGTGGCGCATCCAATCATCATCCTTTTGATCCTTATTTCCACATATGGTCTAATCATAGGTATACACTCCATTCAGCTTTTCTTTTGTTATGATCTGGTCCATGGCCTTTTGAAAACAAGCCACCCCGTAGGTTACACCAAATGGGATTCTTCTTAATTGAAAAAGATTACCAGCAGCCTCAAAAGCGGCGTACTGTACTTATTCTCTTCGTCAATGCTTGCTATAGATCAATGGCACTAAAAACTAAAAAAAACCTTGTTCCCAGCTTCAGTGGATACTAGATCATCTATATCTTTAGTAAGAAATAGGCGTCTAGAATTTGTTTATACACAGTCGACTCTTCCCTTTGTCGTTTGTAACAACCAACACTTGTGCGCGGTTCGATGATCTCAGTATATAGTCTTTCTATTTCTTGTTTTATAAATTGCATGTCTTCTTCTGAGTAGCGTTTGTTCTGATTTTGTGGCATCGGCCTACAATCTGGAGTTATATTGCAAAAATAGCTTGGTTGGTTCAACTTTGGCACAGGAGCACACCAAGAGGAGGTTTCTCACCTCCAATTCAAACCTGTATATTAGAGTGGAGTTTGTTAATGAATACAAGAGTACTAAACCAGAAGTCGGTGGAGGTAGAGGATATAACCCCGAGGAACTTCCCTAAATATGGTGCGATGACAAGAACTTTCGAAGTCAAGAGGCTCCGAAACAATAATGTCATGGGTGATGAGCCAGTCATAGTTTGGACACCGATTTCAATTAACTTAACTAAATAAACAGTAAGCAGTAAAAAAATTAGTAAACAGGTTTATCTAGGACAATACAGCTGAAAAAATCACCGTAGACAATCAGAAGTTGAAGCTGATCCCTGTCCCTGTCCCACTCAGAGAAAGAGGGGTGATCAACCGTGACGTTATATATTGCTGAACGTCTTGCATCTTGCCTTCAAACCAAACTTCTGAAGTTATCGAGTTCCCCTGGCATTGACATCTTAGCAATTCCATAGCCATTAACAGTTATGGGAGTGGGACAGAATTCAAATTAGGCACTGCAACGTATTCACGATCATACACTGGGGTTTCAAGCACTATAAGCCTTACGTCTATTAGTTATACATTCAATAATCCAATCTTTGTTGGCATTTTTGGTACAATCCTGGGTAATTATTTGGACGTAGTGACTACTCGCAAAAGTGAATTTTTTTTCCATAATGACCTAAAGTTCACGCTGAATCCGAAAATGACATTTTTATTTTTCGGAAAATACCGGAAATTACCGAAAAAAGGGAAAAAGAATTTTTACTCAAAATACGTCATGTGGGTACTCAAAATACGCGGAATATTTGTTTCCCGTTTTTCCCTTTTTTCGGTAATTTCCGGTATTTTCCGAAAAATATTATGGAAAAAAAATTTCACTTTTGCGAGTAGTCACTACGTCCAAATAATTGCCCAATCCTGTTGGTGTAATTTTTCATGTAAGCAATCTTTTTTTTTGTCAGCAAGATGTATCTGAATTCGACTATATACCTATATTTAAATTTTTTTATTGTAACTTGCCCTCATGTATTATCTATTGTAAAAATGGTGTTTACCGTATGATAAATAAATAAATAATGCTAAACCAATGCTGGAGGAGATCGCTTTCTAAGCGGCCGAACTTTAGACATATGTATTCAATGATACAATGTTATTCTTGAATTGAATTAAAGTACAAGTAATTATGCCTTACTCTATGACCTACTTAGTATTCCTTGTTTATATCAATGATAAAAAAAAATAAAAAAATGTTAGTGTGTGTTTTTTTGAAGTAAAAATGAAATTGAAAATTATCTATGTTTAATTTTAATATGGCCGACGACGAAGAGTTTCCACTTCACAAATGTGTTTTCAGTGGTGATTTACGTAAATTATCAGCTCTCATAAGGATTCACGACGTCTCCAAAAGAGATAAACATGGTAATGTCAACATTAATAGTATAAAACATTACCTTTGTGTAGTAAGTTCTATGTAGCTCCCAAGAGCCTAGGCCTATTTACATCCTCCCTTTTTATTTACTTGAATTAAAAAAACTTCACACAATAAGTTACGTAGATAAAATATTTCGTAACTTGTAGTTTAATGTTCTTTTAAGACGATTCATCAATCAAGTAAGGTTTTATGTTATAACCTAGCATAGAGGCCTATATCTAGGGTGGTCAAATGAACCCAACTAGTCTAGGCCTAGCCTATATCATTAACACGTTCGCGGCGGCATGGGAGCGATCGCTCCCATACGGAACCCTAATGCCATCCTGGTGGGTGCGATCGCTCCCAAGCTGCAATGCAGTACGAAATGATTTATTTTAAAGCCAGGATTAGAGATAGAAACTTGAAACCTAGCACAGTACTGCTCAATAGTATACTGTATTTTGTTGTGGTGTTGGTTGGTAGTAAATCTTCCCGTAAATCCCCGTCTGGCAATCTCAAAATTCTACTTTTGTCCCGTCTTTTTCCCTCCATTTGGCAATACAATTCCAATGGGACCGGCTACGTTACAAGCAGTGCTGCTATCTGTTGGTGTTTAGCGAACTACGTCGACTCTCGTTGTAAAGCAGGACATCCTCGCACGTTGTTTGCTATTTGTCAGCCCGAAATTGGAAAGCCAATCACACGCGGCAATCGGGTTTGTTCGATGCTGAGGGCTGCGCCGCACCTGGGATACGCCCGCCATTTGACGTGCCGCCGCGAATGTGTTAAAAGACTGGAATCTGAAAAGGCATAGGAAGAGTAGATTTTGCAAAAATAGTTTTATTACTATAATGTGAGTGTAAATTAATGTGGATATTAATATTACTAACACCCTCTAAACTTTAAACTTTGATCAACTCCACCAGCTAAATTGATAGGTAAGCCTACACATAGGCTAGGTTGAATTTCCAATAAGTTATTATTTCCATTAAATCAATTTAGGTACATAGCCTTAATGTCATTAGGAAAACGTCACATTTCTTAATAGGCCTAGGCCTAAGTTACATGTTTAAAGTGAACCAAGACACACTGTTAAGTTACATGCACAAGTTATTGTAAACATCAATTACCTGTAACATTTGTTTAGCAGCACTCGCCACTAGGAGTCACAGCCGGCAGTTGCCATCTTGCTGTAGACTGGTGAAATACCATTGCTTCATGTTGCGCCTCACGTGCTTTATAATTGGTCTTAAATGTGATTGCTGGTTTAAATTTACTTGACCCGACAGTAGGATTTACCTTGCTCACAAATAGGCCCCTGTATAGTCTTGACGAGTTGTCAAATATGATCCTTTGATGCCAGGTTGAGAAACAGACATGCTTAGGCCTACCACAGCCTAAGTTTTAAAGTTTTAAGTTTATGGTTTTTTTGTAAAGCAAGTTTTGTATCATATAATAATTATGTAAATATTAGTATAACAACGCAATCTATCCGACATACTTCGGTCAAAGATTTAGACAACAAGTATTCAAGTATGAGAAAAGTGAAAAGGCATCATTAGTAACTTAGGTACCATTTTGAGTTATCAATACTTAACATAGGCCTAAGTTATTTTAGATTAACTTACTGGTATAACTTAGTACAAGAAGACTAAGCCCTGACATCTAAAATTAGTTGATCATCAGCACTTTTTATGGCTGTTTACTAAACTTAAGTTTAATTTTCTTTCATAGGAAACACTGCTCTCCATCTTGCAGTCATGCTGGGTCGCAAAGGTGAGTTACTGCATTTAGGGTATTTCTTTAGGAAAAGTAGGTAACAGTTTGATTAAAATAGCATTTATTATCTTATAGACGAGTCGATTTAGCCCAAAAAAGCCTCTAAGATAGAACAAATTCCAACAAATGGTTTTTCGACGGTTTTTGGTAGTAATAGGTGTAGAAAGTACCAGGAAAAAAGTCTACCAAAATCGGACAACCGGAAGTCGGGTTTTTCCAAGATGGCCGCCGTGAGGCCCTCAAATCTACAAGATGACTGCAAATTCGTCGATTCATAGTTCCAGGATTAGCCGATTTCCACGAAAATTGGCAAACACATGTAGAACTATATTTCCAACCTTAAATATGAAAACTAGGCAGACAAAGTAACCCAAAGATGAATTTTCAGGGTATTATGTGCTAAAAAATAAGATTTTTTACCTCAAATATATGTTTTTCTAATATTTTGTACAAAGTTTGTTATAATTTCAAATTTATTTTTCCACCATTAGATTCAACACAAAAAACCTAACAATTTAGTATATTGAATCTTTGTTCTGCTTCAATTTGTTACAGAGATATTGAAAGTATTAACTTTAGTATGTTTTCTTGCCGAGATAACTCAATGTTAATCTTATGGAGAATAAGTATAAATATTAATATAATTTTTCATGAAACCTATATAGATAAGACTTTTTGTTCTGCTTCATATTATCTGTTTTAATATTTTTTTACTAAAAATTCCTTTTTTGGTGTACCATTGCAGCAAACCTACGTATTCGGTTTCTCAGTTTTAATCATAAAGAGAATAAGCAAAAATAAATTTCTTATTAGTCCAAGAAGTATAGAATATAACCTTAAAAACAATACAAGAAAACGTTTTATGGTTTTATATTGTAGTTTTGGGTGTGCAGAGTCGGATTTTCCCAACATTGGACAAATTTTGAAAAAAAGATACCATATGCATTTTCTATGCACAATTTTCTAAATATTGACTTGGGACCAACATCGATATTTATTGGGTGGTCAGTACTTCATTTCGATTGGAAACGTATTTTGGCCGCCATTTTTGATCCACCTTATTGGATATAATTTTTTGTTGTTGTGACATATTACTACTATACATACTAGATTTTCACACATATTCCATTGCCGAAATCCGTTTTTAAATACATTTTTTTTTGTTTTGAACGTTTTGTACTTTGACATTTTTTTAAGATTATTTCTCTTATCTTCAGTTAGTAGTTCATTCTTAAATATTTAATGATGTAAGGGCTTTCATTTGAGCTATTGATCATTAAAATTGGACAAGTTAGAGACGAGCTACCAATCCCAACAAAATATTAAATTTAACTTTTTATAAATCAGTTTTTATTACATGATTTATATCTCGGGTTCTTAATACGTCACCAAGTTCTTTCTGGTCTCAAATTACTCAGTAGAGAATTAGGTTTTTTATTTTATTAGTCACTAAATAATATCTGACTAATTAATAAAAAATGAGTCATGCACCTTAATTTAATATTAAATTATTTGCATTTGAAATTTGTCTTTAGTTAAGTACATATATCCCCAATTCTAATAACTCCCAATAAATAACCTATAACTACAGTAAAAGTCAATACTTTAATGAATCTTTTAAGATTTTAAAGAGCATTGGGAGTTATTTTTCGATTTGGGGGTATATGTCTTACACTAAAGACAAATCTCGAAAAAAAATATTTTTAAATAAGACACACCCATATTAAATTTGTCACATGTTATTAAGTGATTAAAAAAATTAACCCAAACATTTACTGAGTAATATGAAACCAGAAAGAACTTGGTGGCGTATTAAGAACCCGAGATAGAAATATTTTAATAAAAATGTATTTCTAAAAAGTGAAATTTAATATTTTGTTGGGGTTGGTAACTAGTCTCTAACTCGTCAGATTTTAATGATCAATAGCTCAAATGAAAGCCCTTACATCACTAAATGTTTAAGGCTAGAACGAACTGCAAGCGTTAATATATGTACTGGAGAAAAAATAATCTTAAAAAATGTTCAAAATACGAAATGTCCTTAAGAAATGTATGCAAGAGAATTTTCGTTTGAATATATCTTTAAAACGAAAAAAAGATATTTAAAAACTCATTTTGGAATGGGCGTGAAAATCTAGTTTAAAATAATGTTTCACAACATCGCCATTACATTAAAAAAAATTATTTATATCCAATAGGGGGATCCAAAATGACGGCCGAAAACACGTTCCCTATCGAAATGAAGAAATGACCACCCAATAAATATCGGTGGTGGTCTAAAGTCAATATCAATGAAAATGCATGTGGATTTTTTTTCCAATGATGAGAAAATCCGTCATATTAAATCTTGATTCTAGGGGTTTTCCAGTAGACCGATTTTTGGCAATTTTTACTATGTTACTCTGCATACCAAACACTACAACATAAAACCATAAAATGTTTTCTTGCATTTTTTTTAAGGTAATATTGTATATTTCTCGGACTAACAAAAAAATTGATTTTTGCTTATTCTCTTTATGATTAAGACTAAGGAACCGAATACGTAGGTTTGCTGCAATGGTAACTGCCAAAAAAGGAATTTTTAGTAAAAAAATATTAAAACAGATAATATGAAGCAGAACAAAAAGTCTTATCTATATAGGTTTCATGAAAAATAATATTATTATTTATGCTTATTCTCCACAAGATTAACATTGAGTTATCTCGGAAAGAAAACATACTAAAGTTATTACTTTCAATATCTCTGTAACAAATTGAAGCAGAACAAAGATTCAATATACTAAATTGTTAGGTTTTTTGTGTTGAATCTAATGGTGGAAAAATAAATTTGAAATTATAACAAACTTTGTACAAAATATTAGAAAAACATATATTTGAGGTAAAAAATCTTATTTTTTAGCACATAATACCCTGAAAATTCATCTTTGGGTTACTTTGTCTGCCTAGTTTTCATATTTAAGGTTGGAAATATAGTTCTACATGTGTTTGCCAATTTTCGTGGAAATCGGCTAATCCTGGAACTATGAATCGACGAATTTGCAGTCATCTTGTAGATTTGAGGGCCTCACGGCGGCCATCTTGGAAAAACCCGACTTCCGGTTGTCCGATTTTGGTAGACTTTTTTCCTGGTACTTTCTACACCTATTACTACCAAAAACCGTCGAAAAACCATTTGTTGGAATTTGTTCTATCTCAAGTGACTATATTGACTCGCCTATTATGTAGGTAGACCTAGCCTATGCTTTTCTATTCTACCAATTTGATCATCTTATAGGCATTAGTTATGATTTGAAAAAAAATCATTTATAACTTAACTTAGTGTACAACATAGCAAACTCACTGTAACTTAGAGGTTTTCACACTTTCTAGCTTCACCTTATGATCTTTCCTCAAAACCTATGAAATGCTGGTTTTCATTGTACTTAGACTGGACCGATCTTGTAATATATAAAAAAACCACTCAAGATTTGTGTCAGTGAAATTCCATCCTGGGAAGGGTTTCCCTATAAGAATTTGTCTTCCAGCACAATAATGAATAAAGATTGGAGCCAAGAACATTTTTGTAAGCCATCATAGCACATGGATGATCGGTCATTTGAAAGAAAGTAGCAAATACCCAAATGATGCGCCTCAATTTGAATAAGTCAAGTGCTGTTTTTCTTCTCTTTACTATCCAACCTTATGTTTTTATTTTTTTATTTTGTGTGTTTACGCCAGTGGCATTTTTTACGTTTTGAAAGGGAACAGTCCAAACCCTCCGGTCTTGTTACTATCTAACGTCGACCTTTTTGTTAAACAGCATCATTAATTCATAGCCCAATGACAAATGGCATCTAGGTCTGGAAACGATCTCGCATCGATTTGAGTGATATTAAGATTTGAAGGCGAGCACTATAACCAGTCGGCTACCCAGACAATTAATGTAGCCTATTGTTGACCATGGTGTTGATGGATATGAGGTATAGCCTACCTTTCACATTTTGTAGGGTATACCAATACTTACCTTTTTATGCCTCATAGGGTAATTAGCGTTACAAGGTAAACGAATCGGCATTTTAATGTTTTTTTATTGTCAGCTAGGGGTGCTAGGTAATTCGCATTTGGTGTATTATTGATTCCAAAAGATAACTTAAATTATAACTTCTTTCTGACAGAATGTGTTCATCTACTGCTCGCACATGGAGCTCCGGTCAAGGTTAAAAACAACGCTGGCTGGAGTCCTCTTGCCGAAGCTATTAGCTACGGCGACCGACAAACAAGTAAGTGCTATTGCCCTAACTTGCAATTGGTTTATCTAAAGAATAAGTAACTACCAATAGTTACATTGTGAGTTTGAATTACCGGTATCAGAAATAGATGGCGATGATTGGTTATAACTGACCTGCCATCTTTGTGTAACTGTCTTTTAAACCTGATGCCGGTACTTCATTGGTAATTATTTAATAATAAATTACAATAGACCTCGTCAAATAGAAAACTTTAAACACACTATGAAAGAAAAAAGTCCCAGGACAGTTAAATATTTCCAAAAATAATCAATATAAATATTTCCAAAAATAATTAATATAGACCTACAAAACTTGGCACCAAGTTACTGGAGATGGATATAAAACTCATTTTAACACATTATTGAAAGTAGTACGGGTCTTTAGGGAGACATCCCTCTAAGAATCATAAGATAATCCTAAATGTTAGCATAGGTTATATATTGTCTGTTAGTATTTCCTTGAATAACATAGGCCTACTAACTCAAAGTTTTTTCAAGTTCAGTTTTGTTTTATTATTAATTGAATTAGGGAGTAATGTAGTGTCGTTGTAAATTATGCCATCTTGTAATTGATTATGCTAACTACTATTGTATAAGTTAAATGGTGTTACCATGTATAAATAAAAAAATAAAAAAAATAGGTTGATATGTTGGCCTAGCCTGACATCAAATTAAAGGCCTTTACTAGTAAAATACAAAAAATCTTTGAACGGTTGCCATTTTGGAATCGGTTCTTTTAAACTTAAATTTGCGGCATTGTATTTTACTAATAAAGGCCTTTAATTTAATGTGCTAATCAACCTATGCCTTCATTTATAATTTTCTTCCAATTTCTAGCAGGCGCTCCCCTGAGGAGGTAGCGTGTACATGTAATAATATAGCATTGAAAATTCTATGAATCTTTGAACAGCTGCCATTTTTTATTTGGTTGTCCGTTTGGGTTTGCGACATTGTTTTTGACTAATAAAGACCTTTTATTTGAAGTGCATATAAACCTATGCTTATAAATTTAAGATTTTCTTCTGATCCCTAGCAGGCCCGTCCCCCTGAGGAGGTAGCGTACTTCACTGAATAGGCCTAATGTGTTAAAATTATTTTAATGCCCAGTAACTGTGTACTGGTACCAATTTTTGAAGCTCTTTCTTTATTATTTATTGAAATACTAAACCTACACATACCTATTAGTATTAATCTCATGTCTAGTATTAAGTTCAAAGTGTAAGTTCATGTATGTTAAGTATTAGTCATCCTCTTTGAAATATTAGGCCAATCTTCTTTTACTCAATTTTGTGCGCTTTTGAGCTCTATTCAAAATTAATTATACCTATTTTCCAATAGGTAGTTTTCAAAATGTTTTGTTAGAGCGGCAATACCAGGTGAGCGGTTAGTTAAATATAGGGGAACGCTAAAAAAAACTTTTCATTAACAGGTCTGCTGATGTAATGTAATTAAATTAAATCTTATAAATAGGTACTGTTGTTAGGGATTAATGTATGTTATATGATGTAGTGCATATATTTTAAGTTGTCATAGTTTATTTAACTTCCTGTCAATTTCCGCTAGGCCTATTTAGCTTGCCCCTTTTTAAAAAACTGTGACCATTCTCAAATTACTGTACTTTAATTTGATAAAACTCCACTAGGCCTACAACATGTTTCTCATATGTTTTCTCTAGTTGTTTCGCTGGTGCGCAAGTTGAAACAACAGGCTCGCGAACAGATGGAGGAGCGAAGACCTAATTTGATTAAAGCGCTTAACCAGATGGGCGACTTTTACATGGAACTGAAGTGGGACTTTCAAAGTTGGGGTGAGTGTGTTTCAGTGTTTTATCCTAGGAAATAATACTCATTGTTGAAATTACATGATAAAATTTGGACTTTTAAAATCCCACAAAATTCATCAACTTTTTAATTGAAAGATATTAGTTACAGCCCGTAGTAACCTAACCTAACCTAACGGGCAAATCATAGCTCTAATATATTTTCTTTAAGTTGCTATCCCAAGGAACATTCTTGATTCAATGGGTATCATCAATCAATCAGGTCAGCTATAAAACGTAATCTATAGTTTTGATAAAGATGCAATTGAATAATGACTTGGTTCTTTTTTATCAGTTATCTCAATTAGTATATCATAACAGATAAGTTAAACATCTTCATACCCTTCAAGGCCAAAGATTGTTCAGTGTGTAGTAGAATATTCTACACAAGCAACAATGTTATTATTCATAGTCTTACCACTTGTTTGAGGTTCTGATACGTTTCTCTGTTTAACGATTCAATTTTAAAATATTCTTCTGTGTTGGATAGTTGAATAGAATGATGATATAATCAACACTTCCTGTACTTTTGCTTAACATGCAATACAATAGACTAAATTAGAGGCTAAATTAAATACTGTACAATACAATATATTAAACATTTAATTATAACACTGAAAATACCTGAACTGCAGCAAACCTGCAGGCAAAGCAAATTTTCATTTGCCCGATTATATTTTCACTAAAACATCGACTTAAAATATTAGATTTATCTCCTATTTAAATAACATTAGTTTAACTAGTACATATGTTTGCTGCTAAGGGGAAGACAATAGAGTGTTTCTTAGTAAAATTTTAATAGTTCAGTAAGAAATACATTTTCCAAATTTGATCAAAATATGTTCATAAACAAGCAAACTACAACAGTTTACTTATTTTTCATAAGGCCTAACATAAGAATTTTCAGATTATTGTAATTTTCTCCTGAACTATTAAGTGCATAACAAAGCAAAACCCCTTAAATCCCCATTCCCATAGTCCTACCATGCTGGTTCGCGAACTCGTACAAATAAACGTCACAGGATTACACATTTGTACCAAATTTTTATGATTTGGTTAATTTTTTTCAAAGTTAACCTACCATACTAACGGACTTGTATGAATAAAACATAAAACCTATATAATTAGTTTGAATGGATGGTGTTTTTGGCCTCTAGGGGCCTCAAAATAAAAAAAGTAAATCGGTCCCAGGTCCAGGTCTTACTATTATACCTACGGTAATAGCTTATTCCCTCTGTGGAAAATTTGCTTAAAATTATTGCAACTGTTAATATTCTAATCATGTGAAATGTTGTAAACTGTTATTTATAGTTTTGATATATTAAAATTGGAAAACGTATGGATAAAGGTTTTTAAATATTCTTTTAAACATCTCACCACTGTCAGTAGTGATAAGCTTGTGTTTAACCTCCACATGAAGTTATATCATAGCATTTACCTAAGTAATTATTAAATGATCGCAAGTCTGCATTGACAGTGCTGTAATTTTGTTAATTAATTGAGGGAGTCAAGTTAAATGACTTATTTTGTTAGTTAATTCTCATCATAACCTATTGTTATATAACATTAACACTTTCTAGTAGTTTCTTCATAGGATTTAAAAAGCGTATACCTAAAAATACACAAAAGTTATTCCCTTTTGTGCCAAGATTTACAACTAAATTATGAACTAATATTATATACCTAATGACCTATATGAACTAATAACATAGGCCTACCTATTCTGACATAAAAAGTATTTGACTTAGATATCTTTTTTTCCACATTATCTAAGGAGTGCCACTACGCACCTACACTTCCTGCTGTATTACACTTTTCTATAACCAACTTTTTCTGTCAACCATGTTAAGCCCAGACAAATACCGTTACGATTATGTTTCCTACCTTTCCTATATTATTATTTACACCAACTGAATCATAATGTACATCTGTTAAAATATTTTAACCATTGATTTAATTCTTGACCCTTAAATTTTTCGGACTTTATTTTTTGTAGGTAAAACCCCCTGAAATTCCACTTTGCAAATAATAGCCTGTAACTTGTCTTTTGACTTCCATTATTTGGCTTGCATTGTGTTTATAAACCATCATACAGTATCTTGAGTGAATGTCATGTGTAAGGGAATGAGTTAATGGCAAGTAGTACAGCCTGGAGTGTCATCAAGCCTTACAATAATCTTGTTTGTATAGTCTTAAGTTACAATTTTGCAAGAACACCTGTATTGTTTCAGTACCGCTAGTTTCTCGGATCCTTCCGTCCGATGTTTGCCGTATCCACAAACGAGGCTCTTCTATTCGTCTGGATACCACTCTTGTAGACTTTAACGATATGAGGTACGATTCATTTTTTAATTTGCCAACTTGAATTTCAAGTCTTTTTATTTAGCTTGAGTGTGAAAATTCACACTGTTTCCTGGACTAAATCCTTGCGTGGGAAGTTCGTCAAAACAGTGTAGTGTGGCGTAAAATATTTTTTTGAACACCTCTTTAAGGGTGTTTGGTCAAAAATTAAAATTCCAATTTTTATGCTGGAATGTGTTTGTTGCAATGTATTAAAACTAAAATGAGGTTTTAAAAAAATCCAAAAATTTTTTTTAGAGAATTACAAGGGGTTAAAGTTCTGATATTTAGGTATTTTTGTACTAACAATCAAAAAAACCCATTGGGAATTTTGAAATAAAATAAACATTTTCGTATTATATATTTCTTTCTTTTAAGCAATGAATAAAATGATTTACGAAAAAAAATATTTTTTTATTTTTATTTTATTTTACAACTTGATTATTAGTTGAGTGTAATACTAGAACTTAATGCTAGCAGTTTTAATATATCTGGGTTTAATCAGTCAGAGTAAAGACATTTTTTTATAGTTTCTATGTGTAACAGTTCTGTCTCAATATTGGTACACGTAACACCATGTCAAGTCGGCGCGCGGCACTGCAAGTGTAGTGGTGATCATCTACAGTGCCCGCACGCGCCGTCTACGCCAAGTGCGCACGGCCGCGGGCTGCCTTGGTCTTCGCTCTCTCTCCCACCTTTCCTCTCTCCACCTCGCACACCTGTGGCCCTTCCCACACTGTCTTGTTCGGCGCGAAATCTTCACCATAGCGGAGACTGCTTATTGAGTGTTACGGTTGCTACGTTTTTTTCAAATTGTTGTTCTAGTAGGTGTGCTGTAGGCCTATATTATTTTAGATTCAGTAGGACATTAATTAGCCTAATAATGGCTAGAAAACCACGTCCACGCAAGCGATGTAAACGGTCTAGAGCAAGGAGGATCAGGGGTGCCCACAGGGGGGTTTGATGTCGCAAAATGCGATATCAGAAATTTATAATCCATATTTTCTAGCCCCTGAGCTGGTTCTATAACTAAATTGAAATTTTACCTTTGTCATCCAGCTCCTGATATTATTATAAACTTGTTACGGCCGTTTCAGCATCATTGTGCCATCGTCGGACTGTTCAGCCAAAAGGCGTCGTTAAAACACAAAAACATACACACGAAAAATACACATATTTGTCAAAACGGGGTTTTGAAAACAGGCCTGTTGACTATCCTCAAACTATCCTCAACAGGCCTGTTTTCAAAACCCCGTTTTGACAAATATGTGTATTTTTCGTGTGTATGTTTTTGTGTTTTAACGACGCCTTTTGGCTGAACAGTCCGACGATGGCACAATGATGCTGAAACGGCCGTAACAAGTTTATAATAATATCAGGAGCTGGATGACAAAGGTAAAATTTCAATTTAGTATCAGAAATTTATTTGGGGGGGATTTTATGATTTTGGGGGGGGGGCAAGCCAGTGGTTGGTTAAAAGCACATAAAAGATTAATCAGATAATTGTTACGACCTCCTTAATTTATTACTGGGGTAATTATGCAATCAAAATCCCGTTTGACATTTTATCTTGATTAATAAATCATTTTATAATTGCCATAAAATATAGAGATACTTTTATGTGGATTTCCACTTTCTGACTCGTATCATGTTCGACAGTGAGAACAACTCCATGCCAACTGCTGTCAAAGGATTATGGTTGGCCTATTAAATTGTATCTGCAATTTGAGTTTGTTTTTACCTTTCATTATGTTACCTTTTTAACTCATTCTCAAATAGTCTCATTGCCTTGAGGACCTATTGATGGTTTTTTAGATTTGTTTATTATAATATATACTTGATTCATAAAAAACCAGTATTATGATAATGATAATCATTTTGCTATTTTTACAACATGAACAACAACATGAAAGCTTGTGATAATATTTTGGCTCTCCCAAATAATTATGCCTGGGTCATTTATTCATTGGAAGAAATTGACATACAGTACTGTGACAATTTAATTAAGGTTTTTGGTAGGCTATGTGTTTACGTTAACTTCAAGAATTAAAACACATGATTCTGGATTAATTAATAGTATATTACGTTACTAGTCCTGAAAATAAGTGTTTACCGGACGAGTGTGGTCGTTCCCGTGCGAGACGAAGTCGAGTACGGGATTACCATACGAGTCCGGTACACACATTTTGGACGAGTTACGTACGATAGTTTACGCCATACTACTTAATCCGTACAAATCCTTATATATGTCTACCAACTAAATGACTAATAATCACTAGTCATAACCTCTGAGAGAGGTTATGTTTTTGTTTATAACCACTAATTGCAGCAAAAATACAGTATAATCAGCTGATTGGTGTCCGGTAAAACTCATTGCAGAACAGCATTACGCAATGAAACCCCATTTTAATAAGCTGGCGGCAAACAGCTGTTTGCCGCCAGCTTATTCAAATGGGGTTTCATACAGTACTACTGTACTGTAATGAGTTTTACCGGACACCAATCAGCTGATTATACTGTATTTAGGTGGCAATGAGTTTTAATCCTTTAGTTGGTGGAAATATATAAGGATTTGTACAGATTTATTAGTATGGCGTAAACTATCACGTAGGTACGTAACTCGTTCAAAATGTGTGTACCGGACTCGTATGGTAATCCCGTACTCGACTTCACGTGTGTGGGAACGACCACACTCGTCCGGTAAACACTTATTTTCAGGACTAGTAACGTAGTATACTATTTTACCACACTATGATGTTTTAAACTGTTATACATATGTACATTAATTGGTGGCTGAAAGTTACGTTTTGCAGGCCATGCCAGCTGTCACCGTCATTCGGGGATCGAGCAGGTTTTTACATCCCTAGGGCCGCAAAATCAGCTGCCCGCTTACTTTCTTAAAACATTAATGCATATTAAATACTCAATCAGTATCCATAGCATTGCAATAGAGTTGTTTTATTGTCACCGCTGCCTAGCAACTATTTATTATTATTTTTGCTGATTCCTCAAATAATTTATCCACGGACTGAAATGATTTTGCAGTTCTCGATCGTTTTAAGTCCTCGACTTCGTATCGAACTTAAAAACTATCTCGAACCAGCAAAACCTCATTTTTGGCCCTAGGCACGAAACATACTATTAAGTTTAGGCCTAGTAATATTTTTGAGACTGAAAATTTTACACTTATTTAAAAAGGACCAAACTCAGAAGTGGATTAAAGGGCAATTTAGAAAATATCTCAAACTTTTTGACATAACTTTAAGTACTTTATCCCCTACAATTTAATATGGTAAAAGAATTGTTTATGTAAAAACCCTGATCCCAAAAAAGTGGTTTTCGAAGTGATGTGTTTGTCTGTCTGTATGTGTGTATATGTGTATGTATGGTACATACACATATTGCAGTGCGGGGAGGGTAGTCTTCGTTGGTAGCCAGTAGCCTTATAACTTGGGTTGTCATTGACCTTGTGCATTCCCCCTGCCACTGAACACCAACCCGCGACGGCGTGCCTTCTACTTTCTACTGACGCACAATAACACCCCCCCCCCCCCGCGCACTTCTGTAATAGCTGTGATCATTGGCCTACGTGCGCAATCTTTCAGGGGGTGATTGGCTGAGAGATAAACTATTCTTTCTAAACCCTAACACATAAACGTCTAACTGCTGACGTCACTTTGAGGGAACACCATTACCGCAACGAGACGTATATGAACCACCGGCCTCCGTGGTGTAGTGGATAGCGTGTCGGGCTGATAATCCGAATGTACCGGGTTCGCATCCCGTTGATTGCATTAACTTTTTGTCGACAATTTTTTCCTTTATCAGCACGTTTGGTTAGGTTGGTTGGGTTATGACGGTTTAATTTTATAATAAAAAAATTATAAAATTGAATTTTAGGCATTTATAATTTTATTTTATGAACAAAACTATTTTTTAGATTAGTAAACCTTCATTCAATTTTTCCATTATCAGCACGTTTGGTTAGTTTGGTTTGGTTATGACTGTTTAATTTCATAATAGAAAAATTATAAAATCGCCTGTTTCTTCAGACGCGCAGTTAGTGGCGTCAGCAGTTAGTGATGTCAAACGGCACCTGAGAAATCTTCCGTGTGCCCCACCGCATAGTTCCGTAGCAGGCAGATGTGTAAGTGGTAGACAGTGCAATTAATTGTCAGTGAAAGCGGATAGCTTGACCTTGAAGCTATCGATTAGTATTTCTTGGTTTTGCTTCCAAATGAACTGTGATGTTTAAAAACAATAATGTCGGAGTCTGTAGCATATATAAATAATAGAAACTAATAGACCCACCTTACATACTGGAAGCAAAGTATTCAAAGGAAAGAAAAGAGAGGGCGAATAAATAGGGGCCATAGACATGAATCATACTTCACTATCTTATTGTAATTGATTGTACAGTTTTTGTATATGTATATAATGTGTAAATATTTGTTTACAGTTTAATTAAACTGCTGCAACACTATTACAGCCAGTGTGTTAAAAATCAGATTAATTATTGATACATTAATATTATGTATTACTATAACAGTAAGCGCAAACACAAATCAACATAAGATAGTCAATTTGTGTCAGTTAGCAACGTGATTTGGTTTAGGGTTGCTAGCCCGGACCGAGGATACGACGGGCCGTGCCCGTGCCAGGCCTCGCTTATACGAGAAGCAGTGATGCAGTGTCACTAGTGTCAGTGTGTCGGGTGAGGAGGGGTGAGGGGGGACAGCTCAAACACACACCTACAGCGCTGCCTCCAAACGGACATCCAAGCGCGCGCGGTGGCGACTTGTAGAACTACTGCTCCTCACCTTCGGACTAGCCTAGCGCCCAAACAGCCTTAAGTTAGGACATTAATGAATGAGATACTGCAAAATGGAAGCGTAGTGAAAGCAACTTTATTATGGTTCTCAAATTCATTTCTCCAATATTGGTTTTGTACTATTTAGTCTGGCTTTTGTACTAGTTTGTACAATTGGCCTGGTACTGGCTGTACACAGAGTATTATTTTTTCAGGTGGGAGAGAGGGGACATAACATTTCTACTTAATGGAGACGCTAAGCCCAGTCAGTCCCTCGCTGTTTTAGACAATAAGGCTTGCCTGTTCCAGCGAGTTCGTTATGAAGTAAGTAGGTATAAAACTTATAATTGCTACTACTAATGTTGTGTCAAATCCAAATCTTGATACAGCTAATCTCTAGAAAAGATAACAATTTAAGATTTATTCGGCTGGATTTGAGAATTGAATACCTACTGTTTTGAGACACAACATAAATACTTTGTCAATGTTGTAAGGCTTTGGTACTATTTTTCTGATAATGGTTATGGATATGTTCTGGTTATGGTTATGTGTCAAAACAGAATCTCGAATCTCTAAACCAACAAAACTTTAAGAAAGTTTGTGTTTCGAGATTTGATCAACAATGTTTGACGCTCTCAAAATATTGCACAATATCCATCAATGTCCATACAAGGAAACAAATCAACAAATTGATATGTTATTCCTTTCAAACTGTGCAGATAAAATTGCCATTCACATTATTTGATTCTCAAGAAATATTCAATCACTTTTGAAACAAGTTGTTAAATTCCGTAGGTATTAAGTGTATTCGTCAAATATTCATGTTGTCAGAAGCCCAATTTATTTCAGTTTTGATTGCATAATAAACATTTGCTTACCTGTATTTTTCTTTAACCTTAACCAGGCAAGCAAAGTTTGGTGTTTAGTTTTCAAGATTTAGGATTTAATAGTCTCAGCGGTTTTGGTTTTGAGATTTGAAATTCCCAGTTTCAACCATCCCTTGTTATGACACTTAAGCATTGCTCTATATAAGGCCTTGTGGTAGGAAACGGAGATGGAGATAGAAGATGAGGTGGATATTCTGATGAGTAGTGATATCTTGGCAGCTCAGATGTCCACCAAGTCAATCACGTTCACGCGCGCGCAGACCGGTTGGATCTTCCGAGAAGACAGGAAGGTAAATCATTCAGAGGAACTACTGCAGATTTGTAATACCTAGTAGTCAGTGGTCAGAAAATATTAATTTCATTTTAAAATGTATTTGTTCATAGAACTGTGTGGTTACATGTTTCATGTGTACCAACATAGATCAGACAGTAGAGTAGACTAACGCTCAATACCATATAAGGCTTTGAAGAGCTTTTCGCCTGTAAAACAAATTTGTTTAAATATTTTGTATGGATTATAAATATTAAGTTTCTAATAGTAATCAGATATTTTAGGGTAAACAACTTTGCTAAACACTATAATTTGTATTCCAAAAAGCTTTAAATTTTAGAACAATTTTTTTATGCGAAAACTCTGGCTGCCATTTTCAAATATGGCTGCTACCTTCAAAATTTGTTTTAGAGCACTCTAATTTTTTAAAGATTTTAAATGCAATTTTATGTTTTTTGTTTTGTATATTTTTTCCTTGATTTTGTTCACCTAGTATTTGGATTATGGTGAAACAAATGTTTCGCTCTGTCTAGTAAAAAAAAATCTTCTAAACAACTTAACAAAATAAATTTTAAAACTGGTAGAAAAATTTTAATGAGTTAGAAGTTAAAAAATTTTCTCGAAACAGTGCTTGAATATGTTTTTCAAGTTGATTTTACCATTAATACCAATCAAACGTGTTTTAAAACCACACCTGAGTGCAAAAAACCATAACTCCATATTTCCAAAATTAATGATAGGCTACAGTGAAATTTTCATAGAAATCAGTTTCCTTTATTTCACATATACTTTCTAATTCTGATAACCCGTTGCAGGAATTGGTTGGAACTTTCCATTCAGAGTTCTACATAATCAATGGGATGATCCTAGAGTCTCGCAAGAGAAGAGAACACCTGTCTGAAGAAGATTTACAAAAGAATAAGGCAATCATGGAGAGTTTAACCAAAGGCAATACTCAGGGACTGGATACCAATGGCGAGGTAATATATGTACAGTTCTTTTACAACTTTCAAAAGCCTAAAACTGAAAAAAAATGGTATTCCTTAGTAGTGCAATTAACATGAATTTTATATACGAAAATTTAGTTTTTGGTTTATTACTAAAATACTAAAGAGATAGGTGTAAATTGGAAGGTTGTTCGTCTTAACAAGACACTTTAAAAAATGATATGCTATTTGACATGTTGCCATTTGATTTTTTTTATTTACAGGGAAAAAAATAAACTTAAAATACAGTAAAAATAAAATATTGGGAAAAAAAATTATCATTTTGAAAATTATTACATGATACACATAGGTAATTAATTGTAAAGCTATGTTTACCAGAGTTACGAATTTGAAATGAAAACGGAAAATTTTTAGCAGTTAAATAAATACAGGGTATTACGTCAATAAGCGAAAAATTAACTAAAATGGGTTTTTGTTCTAGCAAGTCAGTTAACAGTGTAGGGTGGGTTTTAATTTGCAGTGTGTTGAAATTGTTCGGTAACTTCACTTTCTCTTTCTTCGTCTAAGACACATTTCGGTGTTTTTAGAGAAAAAAAATCAAATCAAATCATCAATCATGTTTATTAGCACATAAACGTACAGAGGTTTTAGATATTCCTGTAATTGAACATTTACAGCTTTCTCAAATATTTTTGAAAAGACAGGTAACAATGAGACTGGACGATAGTTTTCAATCAAGTTTTTATCCCCTTTCTTATAAATTGGCCTAACAATTGATATTTTTAGTTTTGATGGAAAATCACCTGTAAACAGTGACTGATTAATTAATGTGCAGATTGGCATAGCTATATAATCTTTACACTCTTTGATTAAGGTGACAGGAATCTCGTCCCAACCAGTAGATTTTTTATTTGGTAGTGATTGTATAATCTTTAAAATTTCATGAACATTTACTTCTCTGAATTCAAAAAACAAACTTTCTGGGTTTATCCCTGTTTTGCAACTGTCAACTGCTTTTTCTGGTGAACTTTTAATATTCAGTTTTTTCCTAATGTTGAGATAATGATCATTAAAATAATCTGGAATAACTTTGGGGTCTTTTATTATGGATCCGTCAATTAGTACTTCTGTCAAAACGCTCTTTTACCTTGTATTCATTCCTAGCTCATTCTTAATTACTTTCCAAGATGCTTGACTTTTACACTTCGCTTGTGTGATGTACTTATCATTTGCCCTTCGCTTTGCTGCTCTAACTACTTTTTTGAATATCTTTCTATAATTTCTGTAATAACTTTGCGCCTCGGGACACCCACTCTCCTTAGCCTCTCTGTGGAGACGCCGTTTGTTCATACTTGAAACTTTTATCCCCTCTGTCACCCACTGTATTTCTTTTTTATTTTTTACCCTCCTAGGTCTAGGTGGAAACACTTCATTCATGGTCAATAAGAAATCGTTTAAAAAATTGTTGTAATTATCGTTCACACTTTTCCCAAGCTCTACCTTCCATTTCAAGTTTTTTATTTTACTCTTAAATTCAGCTTTTTTACTTGAAGTAAAATATCTTTTAAAGGTTTGTTCTTTAATTTTGATCTTATCCTTAAATCTGGGTAATGTGGCCCATATGGCACTATGATCAGAAAGACCTATGTCCTCAACATGAATTCTCTCTATCTGATGTTTCTCATTAGTAATAATATTATCAATACAAGTTCCACTTCTAGGTCTTGTTACCTCCATAACATTGACTTTGAAACCATTAAAATGTAAAACATTTAAAAATCCATCAGAAGCCTTATTATCTAATACATTTATATTACAATCAGTAGCTATCAATACATTTAACCTTTTCCTCCCTTTCAACTTATTTAATAAAAACTGCATATTTTTTAAAAAGCTAGCTAATGTGAACTTATATGGTACTCTATATAAAGATACAATTATTGTAGGCTCAACAAAATTTAGAATTTCAATGATGGAACATTCAAAATAAAAATCTTCGTTAAAATTTTTAAGGTCATTTCTAACTTTATATTTTATACCTGCATTTTGTTTTAATAAAATTGCTGAACCTCCTCTTGCACCATTCTCCCTAGTATAGTAGTCTGCTAAGCAGAAACCATTAATTTTATATAACAGTTCTATATTTTCTTTAGATAACCAATGTTCATTTAAAGATATAATCAAAGTATAATCAAAGTAATTAAAGACTAAATAACTTGAACCTTTTAACTAATAAAAATAAAACAACAATAATTAAATTCTCTTGTAAAAATGGCAATTCAAGGAATGACACAGAACCAACAGACTGCCTTAATACTGTTGACCTTGCTGAAAAGTCAAAGTTCCTTGGTATTTTACTGGATAGAAAACTGTCTTGGTCAGATCATGTAAATGAGGTCTGTTCAAAAGTTAGTTCAGGAGTCTTTGCTCTGAAGAGATTGTCCTCTTTTTGTGACATCAAAACATTGCAATCAATGTATTTTTCAATGGTCCATACCCATATTGGGTATGGTCTTGAAGTATATGGAGCAACATCAAATTTTAACCTCAAAAAAATCTTACATCTTCAAAAAGATGCAATAAGATCAATGCTTAAATTGGATTTTGATGCACACTGTAAAAAACATTTTATTGGATTGGGTATCATGACAGTTTATAGCCTTTATATTTACAAGACTGTTCTTCATGTTAAACGTAATATTTCAACATTTACTAGAAACGTCGATAATCATAATTACAACACAAGAAACCGATATAATTTCCAAATTAATAAGCATAAAAAAGAAATATTTAAACAAAAACCATCATTCATTGGAATACAATTTTTTAATCAATTACCAATAAAAATAAAAAATGAAACAGATGACAACAGATTTAAAAACGCTCTAAAATTACATTTGACACAAAATGCTTTCTATAAATTCAAAGATTTCTGGGCTAAGCAATAACAGCATTGACTTAAAATGTTTTAGGCCTATTGATGTTTCACTGAACTATATTTTTGTTTTTTGTTTTCACTGAAGTATACTTTTGTTTTATACCTACCGGTACTTGAGAGATGACTGTATTGTTTTGTTCTTGTATATTGTATTTGTCTTTTATTTGTGTTCATATTTTATGTAACGATGAATTTGACACCATTCTTGTATATAAAATATATACTAATGAATAAAGATGTTTTGAATTGAATTGAATTGAATTGAATTAAGTATTTTCTTTAACTTGATCCAAAATTAAGCTTAAGTCATAAAACTTTTCTTTTATTCCTTGAATATTTATATGCATTAAAAAGTCAAAGTTATTTCTATTCTTTAAATCTAAACTAGAGCTACCTAACCTAATTTGGCTGGTGTTGTCATCTCTTGGTCGTTTCCCATGGATGTGGACTCCTGCGGCTCGTCTCTCTGTCTGTGATGGGGATGACATCCTGCGACGTTTCTTCCCGTGCCTTGTAGAAGTCATCATTGTGTTGTGGTGTAGGGGCATCATTCGTTGCTGTAGGAGATTCATAAGTCGCTTCGATGATTTTGTTGGCCAGCCATCTCTTACCAGTTCTATTTAGGTGTTGCCCGTGGTTTGTGTGATGTTTACGCTCAGCTGAGCTCACCTTTACTAGTGTTACATTATTGTACTGACAACACATCTGCTCCAAAGCTTCATTCGTCCTCCTGATTTCCTTGTTCACGCAAGACCATTCTGCTAAATCATGTCTTACTGGAAAATCTGCAACTATTATTTTTTTCTTGTTGTATTGTAAGATTGTTCTTGATATACTATCAAGGGCACGCTGTGCCTCGTTCCTAGCGATGTCATTTGAACCAGCCATTATTAGCAACGAGTCATCTTCTTTAAGCTCCTCTCCGTCAATATTCTTCTCGATTAGGATTTCATTAGCACAGGCTCCTGGTCTTACAAAACCTACTGCCTCAAACAAATTTGTGTTTTCATTCAGGTGGTGCGAAAGATCCCTGCCATGGCTATCTGCACACAAAAGCATTTTTGTTTTTTTCTTGATTTTTTTTGTTTGACATTATTGATTCCAGTTTTATTTGTTTGATTCATGGTTGTGAATGGAACTATTTCTATGGCATCTTCTTGACTGTTCTCGTGGATTTTAGAAAGAGCATCAAAGCGATTATTGAAATTGATTGTAGGTGTACTTGTGGTTATTTTAACTGGAGATTGCCTTTTTTTGGAGATTTTCACTTCCTGCTAGTCAGATAAACTTTCAGGTTCAGCCCTAATGTTTGTTTGAGTAGCTAGAGGAGGGAAGCAACTTAAACAAGTAGATTTAACATTTTCCATAGAATGTAGTTTTTTTTCTAAATTATTATTTTCAGTTTTTAAGAGTGATATAATAGTTTCTAATGTTCTTATTGATGACATCATGTTGTTTGTTTCTTCTCTAAGTATTTGACACTCCATGCATTTGTAATTCACTGTTGTTGTTGGATTAGAAGTAGGCCTACTGCTATTATTATTTTGGATCCGTTTTTCTTCTTCCGCTTGTAATATTATCATTTCTTTCAATTCCTTTTCCTTTTTTAGTTTGTCATCGAGGATCTTTATTTTGTCCTCCAACTCAAGTACTTTGTCTTCATGAAACTTTTTCATTACTTCCAGTTCTTCCTCTTTTTGTTTTAAATCATCTTCCAATTGAAGTTCGAAAAACGAGCTTTTATTTTTTGCGTCATGTAACTGTTGCCTAAGGTTTTCATTTTCTTTTATAACAATTTCCTTTATAGGGAATAAGCTATTACCGTAGTACTCATGGTAAGACCTGGACCCAGGACTGATTTCCTTTTTTTGTTTATTTATTTATTTTCAAATAATCACATAACATCATATTCAGACAGGTGATTCGTCATTGTTAGAATATTTTATAGTCTCTATTATACTAAAATAAATTTCATATGCTGAGCCTTAACATCTACACAGCTTCCATATATTCCTCCAATAAGAAGAAGGCCTTCTCCTTTTGAGGTCCCCAGAGGCCAAAAACACCCTCCGTTCAAATTGTTATATATTATGTGTCCGTTAGCGTGATAACTTGAGCAAAAATTATCAGATTTTGATGAAATTTGGTAGATACGTGTAAACCTACGTTTATTGATTGAATCAATCAATCAATCAACCTACGTTTATTCGAACGAGTTTGCGAACCAACATGATCGGACTTTGTGAACGGGGGTTTAAGGGGGGTTTTATGGGGTGAAAGTTGGTTTTTCCCATTTTTGACTCTAAAAACTTTTCACAATTTCTTTCCAGACCATTTTGTAGAGCTTAAAAAAGAAATAATTTTTACGCCCGCTCACTTCGAGGTCATTGCACAACCCCTCCCTCCCTTCTATTGTTTTTCATTGCCAGTCAGTCGCCGACGACTGCTTTGAGTTGACCTATTCTGTTGTAACAGCTAAAAAAATAGGTTAGGACAACTACCTCTTGCTTATTTCTACACTGTAAAAATATTTGTATTACTGTAGAATCTACAGTAGTAAAAATTATCCAGTATTTCATGTAAACACAAGTTACATTTTAACAAATATTGATTTTTTACCAATTTAAACCAAACTCGACTCGAAACTGCCGAGTTAAAAAATAAACTTGAGTTTCAAGGCCGTACTCGACTCAAACTCGAAATCTCAAGTACTCGCACATCTCTATAATTACTCAAATTTATATTATTGTACAGTATCCACAGACGCGAAATCGGCAAATCCCCGCCGGCCGCTATCCCTTCCCGTCATTTCCCGTTCCCCGTATTTTTCCCGTCAATGACCGACTATCCGAAAAATCAGTTATCCGAACAACCCCAATCCCCAATTAATTTAGATAATCGACGTTCTACTGTATCAACATTTCAATAAAAACACACAACTATACCTTCCCTCTAGCAGAAAAACTAGGTACTCATTTAAATTAATGTTATTTGAATAGGGAAAGAAATCCGACAATTTTCAGGGAATATTTTTGTAGAAATCCAGCCAGGTAAATGGAAATTCGCTTAGTCTGCAGGTTTGCTGCGGCGAGGGTATTATTTTCCTTGGCCGTTTGTTAAAGTGTTTCGGTTGAGGTGGGGCTCTATCCATATCTAGTGTTGTGTATTTCAGCCAGTCAGGAGGTTATCCCTGACGCCTCCACCCGATTGTTGTGTGTCCTGGGAGGAGTATATTTCTGCACCTGTGGGAGAACCGCCCACCTTGGGTCGGGAGTTGGTGCACAAAGAAACTACCAAGGCCTTCAAGGCCACTGTAGCAATGGTGAGTGCTGAGGTGTTCACCTGATCACTTATTAATTTCACTAAGACATAGGCTGAATATGAATGCAAACGGTAGTGTTCCAAAACAAAATTTCAATACCATGAAAACATTGGAAAAGGTTCTGTTTTAAAATTTAATCAGCGAGTTTTGAGATTCAAAATTTCAAAAAGGAGTTTAATTCATCTTGAGGGTTTTTGTTAGTAAAGAATTGCGCTATTATAGGTAAGTAAGTAGGCCTATTAATATCTTTCTTTTTTTTGTAGTGGGAGGAGTTTTATTTATTTTAGCGATTTGTTGTTTATTAAAATTAACTTATGTGTTTTGGGTTATAAAATGTGTGTTAGTCACGTATAATATTTATGTTATTATGTCAGTGACAGGAGTCTAATTTCATTCAATTTTGATTGCACAGTAAACCTTTTATTGTTCTATAATTTTTTTTTTTTGTAACCTCAACCAGGCAAGCAAAAAAGGTTTTCTGTTTAGGGTTAGAAATTTGATTGGATTTTTCAAGATTCTGAATATTTTATTTCAACCATCACCTTAAGGTAAGTAGAATGTTGTGAGATGATCTGTGTTGCTTTGTTAGTGACTAAGATCATCTGTTTCCCTAGTAGGCTCATGTTTATAATGTTTTAATCTTTCAGAGCCCAGACTTCCCCCTCTCTGTGGACATGCTTTTGAACGTCTTGGAAGTCATCACTCCTTTCAAACATTTCAACAAACTCAGAGAATTTGTGCAAATGAAACTGCCGCCTGGGTTCCCTGTAAAAATTGGTAAGATTGCCAAAACCTTCATAATTCCATAAGGATCCTTAACTAACTCAGATTTCCAGATGACTAAAGGTGCACACTAATGCCCTGTATCTATTTTCCTTGAATCAATACATGTCAACCCTGTTGGGGATTGTTCTCCCATTGGTTAACTTTATTTGAAATGTCTCCTGAAATCAGTCACTGTTAACCATTTCTATATTTGAATTCTCTTGTTGGTAAATGCAGTAGCCTATTCGCGTAAATATATTTTCAAGAGCTTTTAATTTACTCGTGTTTATCTACTAAAGCTACAAAACCGTTTGCTAACAATTGGTGCATAAATATTTTATTTTGAAATCCACTGTGCTACTACAGGGCATCTAGTTTTAAATACACTGAATATTAATATTTAAATTTCATCTGGAAGCCAAGAGTCTGGAAGCCAACAAATTAAAACCATTTTGTTTATTTTTCCTATTTATTTCTTTAGATAGAATGCTGATTAAGACAGTTGAGGAAAATAGACTCCATTAGGTAGAAATTAAACACTTGATCAACACAACACAACAATTATATGTTACGTCCTAGCTTAGAACATATTTAGAGGTCTTAGATTATATCTAAAGATCAGATGTCTTAAACCAAGACAAAGAATCACAAATATCTTATTTAACACATGAAATCCTCTACACGAGCCTAATTGTTGGAGTAAGAAAATCATTAATACCTGTATCTATTTACCTGAATCTAAATCCTCATGAAGCAAAGTTACATAACTATAGGTGTAATTTTACTCTTACTTATCAAAATATTGTTAACTTTTGAATTATGTCATCAATGTAATGTTTCAGACATACCAATACTTCCTACAGTAACTGCCAAAATCACATTCCAAGAGTTTGCCTTCAAAAATGACATTCCTCCAGATCTCTTTGAAATTCCTAGTCACTTTATAGAAGACCCGACGAGGTGAGTACCTGAATGTTAACCAAGTAATAAAGCTCTGATACGAGTTGGTAAAGAATCTTTTTTTATATTTTGGGACAATTTGGGATTTATCAGAGATGAATGAATATCACGAATATTAGCTCAAAACCCAGTTTTGGTAAATTTCAGCAATTAGGCTACCATTCTATTTGCAATTGAACAATGGACACGTATTGCAACTCCACTTGCCAGCATAGTCTTGCACTTTAATTGGGTTTTTGTTGTGTGCTACAAAGTATTCGGCACTTTCATTGCTACATTGTGTTCGATGGTTTGGTCTTCGTATGGAATGTGTGGCCTGACAAGAGGTGTCAGCATTTTGTGTAACTGGGAACCCACTGTCGTGTCTTTACGCTATATTTTCCTCCATGAGGCTGTCCACGGGAAAACCTGTCTTTTCAACTACTATTATTTAACAATAAACTCCGAATTAATTCAAAACAATAAACTAAGTACTTAAATCTCGACTCTGCCTTCCTTTATTGAATTTTCAGCGCTCCCTAAGTGTGGTGGTCTCAATTTTAAGATACAATTTTGGATTGTGCAGTTGGAATTTTAAGATACAATGTTGGATTGTGCAGTTGGTCGACTATTTGTAATTTGGCCACTCGCTAATCCAGCATCTCCGGTCTGGCAATTGCAGTTTTGCAGTCGCAATAGTAAAATATTTAAAGGAAAGTGCTTGTACCGTTCCAAATATCAAGAAAATACCATATAACGTCTCACACAGCCAATTTGAAACTTTAAGCCCTAAGAGCGAGTATAGCTTAGGAAATTAGTTCCTCAAATCCAACCTGCGAGCGCTTGTGTGCTTATATTAATACTTGACGGTGGCATGGTAGCTCAGTTGGCTAAGGCATTGCATTGACGAGTGTAGCCTATTGAGGTCTTTCAACATGCGTGGGTTCAAATCTTGTACACATGCAATCCTTTTTAAGCTTGAAAATCTGTGACTTATCTGGTGTGAAAGGCCAGCTATAAACGGTATACGGCTTGGGTGGAAGTTAATGGTAGTAGTGAGTTTTTTGATTGCACAAAACACTTTTTGCTTCATTTTACATTAGTATACAGGAGAAGGGCCCAGCTTATTCTTTTTAAGCTTTTATATTGGTTAAATATTTTTTTACATATCGTGTTAAATAAAAAACTTGTAAAAAGCATAAAAGGACAACCTGAAAAAGATTTTAGAGAGGAATAAAAAAATTAGCTAAAGGCTTAAAGTGCTGATAGAAACTATTTTATATATTTCAAATTGCTTATACACATTTAAAGATCAAAACCTCTTTAAGCTTTATGCCCAACCGCAAGACGATTTGCGCGGTTGTCAATGTATTTGCGTTTATCAGATGCAATAATGGTGTTTGTGATCGCAATAATTTTTCAAAATATCCTTACATTACAGTAGAGTCCCGCAAACTCGATACTCGATAACCCGGCAGTCTGGATAACTCGGCCATCACCTGGCTCAGAAAATTTGTGATTTTTTGAGTCCGAGTTAAACGTGGACTCATGCCAGCTCAAGTCAAATCATTCGTAACTCGTACTGAGGACTTAATACTGACTTGTAGTATAAATATAAATAAAAAAAGGCGGTTAAAAAGCTTAAAAACAGTATTGTTCTTATTATTGTTCTTATTACCTTAGTTCCTGATAACCCGGCATTTCACAAACTCGGCACCCTTCATGTCCACATTACACCGAGTTTGCGGGACTCTACTGTATTTAAATGTCAAGTAAACAAGAATCAACTTATTTCCATCCCCCAATTCTTTTTACTCCAGATCATCCCAATTTTTTACCCCAGAACATCTTATCATTCCTATAACTTTTAATGAGTACCAGTTAACATTTGAATAAGTTGATAATAGTAATTTTTAGGTGTACATGTATTTAACTCTATACAATTTCTTGCAAAATAATTTATTACACCATACTATTCAATTTTAATCTGTTCTGACGACTCTCAAGCATTACTAATTTTAAGGCCACCAATAAATCTTTTCTTAACATCTTACGCTTATTACTTCTTACTTTTAGTTGGTATTAACACTTTTTGTTGGAGAATTTTTACCAAAGATTTTATATGATAAAAAAAATGTCGCGACGCCCGTCACGTTACCTGCTGCCTGCCGCGGCCAGGCGCCCTTCAACGGCGGGCGCTCTAGTGGGCGCCCCTCAACGGCTGGCGCCCCTAGGCACGTGCCTAGTGTGCCTTATGGTAAATACGCCACTGCCTGTTGCAGCAAACCTAAGTACTCATTAAACTAATCCTGTTTAAATAGAGAATAAATGTAGGGGTCTGCGGTGCACCGAAAAAGTCGGTACGGTACGGTACAAGCTTAATTACCGTCATCGGTTCGGTACAGCATTTTACACGGTACAAATTCGGTTCGGTACAGCCTATTATAATAATAAATTACTTTCAGTTTACTATCGTAGTCAATGGCAGTTGGTTCCGAGCACATAAAAGTCTTATCAGATGTTTGTTTACGATCTTCATAATTTATTACTAGCGTGATGATGCAATAAAAAACCCATTAGCAGTCCCAAATCCATTAACATTTTATCACGACAATAATTGTTGTATTGAAGTACTTCCAAGAACTGTTGAGTTTTATCACTTTTATTTCTTTACGACTTTCCCCAATTCTGTTTTATCATAAAAATAATAGTTTTATGATGACTGTTAAATGTTATCTCTAACTTAATCAGTATTTTCGTGAATATTGAATTTGCCGCTGGCCATTGCCTACTGCCATAAAACTGTTTATGGCTACATATTAAACTTGTAACAAATCTACAATCTTATTTTATAAATTAAATATTTGTTATGGATATTTTATCTTTCTATTGACGACCATGGATATATACAAACTTTTGTCGTAATTTTAATTACAACATCAAAATACAATATTGCACAATCGTGATATTTTAGGCCATTGACCTTTATTATGCATCCGGTATTGCTGTTTCAGAAGAGAAGCACGTTGATAAATTATAAATTGATATTCCCGTAGTTAAAAAGAATTATTTTATAAACCTATAAAACAAAATCATAAAATCTTACATAAAGATAACAATAACGGAAATTGTAAAAAGGGTATAAAGATAACAACGTTATTCTTTCTCTTTGTTCTTCTATTTCTTGGGTTTCCCTTCATCACGCATTCAACAAGTTGCCATGGTTACTAATCACCCATGTCGTTATCAGCTTTTGTGACATAGCGCACAGCAGGGGGTAAAACTTGACGAAAATCGGTAAATTTTTACCTATTATTTAATTACCAATGAATGTACGGTACTACTTTATTGGTATTTGGTATTGTATTAATAATCGGTCCAAATGGCAGATTTTTGTCAAATTTTACACCAAATTTATTGAAATTTCAAGGTGAATATTAATAAAACAATTATTACCAAATATTTGTATTCATTTAAAAGATTGATTTGTGGTATTGGGTTCCCCACTGAGTGCAGCCGAGCGGCACTAATGAGGGTCGGACCTTCTTGGGGGTGAACAATAGACGGCTTATCAGACCCTCCCCTCCCCCGTGGTCTGGAGAAAGCATGTAAACAAACTATTGCACAAGCGTGCGTGACTTGACATTGAGCTGCTTCAACTATAATTTTGTCAAATGAACTGTGATGTTTCAAAATCAAAAACAATAATTTGGGACCATACTGCTTAACAATAATGGACTGCAATTATTGTTGAACATACAATCCATTTTTAACAAACTAAGATTATACGATTCAAATACAATTATAAAAATTATCTTGGTATTTTACTTGGGGTAATGCAGTTATGTAGGCTAGTGTAATTCTCGGTTCATTAAGGTTCTACTGAATTATGTTTGGCAGTGAATAAGTGTAGAATGCAATTTATAAATTCAGGGATACACACCTTTTACACAGTTATAAAGTCTAATTGCCCAATATCAAATCTTACTCTGTGATAATCCAAATTTTAGTTTCAGAAAAAAACTTTGCAAGAATTGTATCCATCTTATAACTTAACTAGTTTTGAAGCTGATAAAAAAAAACGGTCTTTGCCATTACTTCATCATAACCTCCAGTTTTTCATTGTCATCTGCTGTGAACAGCTGGCAAAACTACACTGTCTTCTACTGAATGCTTTTATATGTTTTTAAAATAAAAAAAAAAAAACAACTAGACATTGTGTTGGTTGGAAATAATTTATCAGTTTTGTGAAATTATCTTGTCAATAAATGTTTCAAACATGTTTATTCATAAAAACTCTCATCCTATTTTTAAACTACTTTATCATGGCTATTCAAAGTATCTCAGAGTAAAATAGGTAAAGCCTTTATCTCAACTGTGATTTTTCTTGACACAATCCTCGTAGTAGTAAAAGGTTTTGTTTTAATAATATGTGGTACAGTAATTGTTGTTAGAAAACCATGAATGTAGGATACTATCCATTTTCATAGTAATGTCTATGTATTAAAGTTAAAAATAATGGTTTGGATACAGTTCTGAGAAGAAAACCGCAAAAATACGGGTAGCCGCGTACCGTACCGATTTTGTACCGAGAACCGAGGTACAAAATATTGTACCGTACCGAACCGTACCGACCTTAAATTTTCTGTACCGCAGACCCCTAAATAAATGTGAGATTTTTAAGGAGACATTTTAGTTTAAATCCAATCATGCAAATGGAAATTCGCTAAGTCTGCAGGTTTTGCTGCGGCGGGGGTATTATTTTAGTTACATCGACATTACAATACCTAATTTTTCTCTTAACACGTTCACTGCGTTGTATATTTTCCAGCATTATTCCAATGGAGCGTTACGAGATCTATAGGTCTCGTCTGCTATGATTACCCAGGTGCGATACGAGACCTCGAGATTACGTTGCGCAGTAATCTTTTGCGCATAACCTCGTAAAGAAAGGCGAGAGAGCACTGAGTGTTTGTTTATCCGAACCAGTACAATGTTTTCAGACAGCCCAGGAAGTAAATATGACGTCATTGTACAAGACCCCGAGATCTCGTACCGCACAGCTGTAATAGTTCATTATTTATTTGAATTTATTATTTTCCTACAATAACAAATTAAGAAAAACATATGTTATCTGGTTATTTACGAATTCCTTATAATCGTAACCGTTATAAAAAATATATTTTATCTTTCTTTTATCACTTTTTATAATAATGCGTTTCCTTACGGCTGATTTCAGGCTAAATAAAATACAAATGAAATATGTTTACAAATTACTGTATTTATTTCGTTATCATTTTGGGGTTGGGCTATGACCTCGAAATGAGTGCGTGCCAACAGTGAGTCGAGTGGGCGGGGGGAAGGGATGGGTGCAACCTTGAAGCTATATTTAGACTTGCACCACTTCCCTAAAGGGCTGGGAAAGGGATCCCAATCGCAAAACAAAAACCAATGATACAAAGTTGTTTATCGAAAATTGCTTGTCCGGTTTGACGATTATTTAGCATTGATTTTTGTATGATTTAGTAGGGACCAGGAGAAATATTTGAATTAATGTAAATGATTTGTTTTTTTATATCAAAATACAACATTGCACAATCGTGATATTTTAGGTCATTTACCAGTGACCTTTAATACCCATCCGTTAGTGCTGTTTTAGAAGAGATACACGCCGATAGTTTAAAAAGATTTATGTTCCCGTTGTTGAAAACGATAAATATGTAAACCTGTAAAACATTAGATAGCTCATAAAAATAACAGCATAAAAACGCCATTATTCTTTCTCTTTGTTCTTGAATTATTTCTTTGGTTTCCTTCTTTCATACAAGCATTCAACAAAGGTTACCATGGTTACTAATCACCCCATTAGCCTCATGTAGTGCTTGGAACAACTATAGGCTAAAGTAAACGTTTATTACTTCAGTGCGTTACAAGATCTATTTATCTCGTTCATTTCATATTTACTAGTTGATACATCAAGAAAAATGCATTATATATGTACAAGTTTCATTTCTTTACGATTACTGTACGCCGAAATATCGATGTCGTAATTTTTGGAAAGAAGCCAAATTATGGGTCCCGCACTACGGACTAGGTACAATACAAGACCTCGGGATCTTGTAGCGCAGTGAACGTGTTAATCTAAGTCAGTTGCAGAGATTTTAATGGATTCCTGATAGGGTCTCATATTTCATCATAGATTATCTAAAAGATTTTAAAATATAATGACTAATATGTTTATTATATATTCTGCTAGACACTTTGGACCAACAAATGTAATTACTGGATTAGAAAAGGCATTGCATTTCTTGTACTGTTCTCAAGTATTATTTACCAAGCATTATAACCATTTTGAATAGTTATTCCAAGATTATTTTCCCTATTGTGTTAGTACCATTTCTTAGAAATGTGGAGTTTTTCTTCTGCTGTTGCTCTCGCAATAATAACACTCACCATACAGGATGGTGCACAGGATCGTGAATGGGGAGAAAGTAAGGAACAAGAAACAACAAAAGAATAAAATGAAAAAATAAAGAAGAAGACATCCTATAATTTACTGTATAGTTGTTGTTGAAATATTTTGTATACTACCCCTTTTTTGTAATAAAACCCTTAAAATTAGTAGATGTTTTTGGAGTATTTAATTTCAAATGAGCTGCCAAGTCCTGTACAGGACTGTCAATAAATCATCTCTAAACAACACCCCTAACTTAAAGCAACATATTGTTGGTAAAATGTACAAAATTAAACACAATTAACTCATTATTATTTCATTACTCCAAGACAATATTTATATATTGCCACATAACCCCAACTGTGTAGGAGTATGCTGTTTAGTTCTGAAGACACTTCTTCATTTACAGAAATCACATCCTAATATATGTTTTGTGAAAGATGAACGTGACTATTGTTCTGGTCATGATGCTTGGTCTGTGTTTATAGATTCAGATTCCCTGACTTATGACGCCCAGAACGAGTGACGTTGCTGGAATGATCTATGACACCTAGGTGGCCAAGTTGTTTGTTGTTCTGGTCATGATGATTGGAACGAGTGATGTTGCTGGAATGATCTATGACACCTAGGTGGCCAAGTTGTCTGTTGTTCTGGTCATGATGATTGGTTTGTGTTTGTAGATTCCCTGACTTACGACTTCCAGATCTAGTGATGTTGCTGGAATGATCTATGACACCTAGGTGGCCAAGTTGTCTGTAGTTCTGGTCATGATGATTGGTTTGTGTTTGTAGATTCCCTGACTTACGACTTCCAGATCTAGTGACGTTGCTGGAATGATCTATGACACCTAGGTGGCCAAGTTGTTTGTTGTTCTGGTCATGATGATTGGAACGAGTGATGTTGCTGGAATGATGTATAAGACTAAGAGCACTTAGCACACTTAATTGGACCTCACATGTTGACAACTTATGTAATAAAATCAGCTCAAGTATTTTTGCTATTAGACGCTTATATCCATTATGCAACAGAGAAATCTTAAGAAAGGTTTACTTTGCTACTATTCACTCACATATTTCTTACGGTATAGAAATTTATGGAGGAACAAGTAAATTAAATTTAAACAAAATTTTACATTTACAAAAAGAAGCCATTAGGTGTATCCTTAATCTCGATATAAACGAATCCTGTAAAAATCATTTTAAAGAATTAGAGTTCTTTACCGTTTTCAGTCTCTATATTTATAAGACGATAATGTATGTTAAAAATCATGAATCAGAACTTCAAAGACAGAAAGACGTACATAATTATAACACTAGAAACAAACTAAACTTCATAACTAAAAAACATAAAAAAGAAAAATTTAAGGAGAGTCCTAATTATATTGGAATCAAATTCATGCATTCCCTCCCCAGCAGTATTAGAAACGAAAGTAGCGTAAATAAATTCAAAAATAAACTTAAGGGGTTTTTAATTTATAGCGAATTTTATAGTTTGGAAAGTTTTGAACACTGTAACAAAAAAACTGTATGACTAAGCAAGTAGGGAAGTAGGTGAAATCATGTGAAGTAGTTTTAGGTTGATGACACATTCATGTGCACTTGTTGTATGTATTGAATAAAGATTTATTGATTGATTGATTGATTGATTGACCTAGGTGGTCAAGTTGTCTGTGGTTCTGGTAATGACGATTGGTTTGTGTTTGTAGATTCCCTGACTTATGACGCCCAGAACGAGTGATGTTGCTGGAATGATCTATGACACCTAGGTGGCCAAGTTTCTGTGGTTCTGGTTATGATGATTGGTTTGTGTTTGTAGATTCCCTGACTTACGACTTCCAGATCTAGTGACGTTGCTGGAATGATCTATGAGACCTAGGTGGCCAAGTTGTCTGTAGTTCTGGTCATGATGATTGGTTTGTGTTTATAGATTCCCTGACTTATGACGCCCAGAACGAGTGAAGTTGCTGGAATGATCTATGACACCTAGGTGGCCAAGTTTCTGTGGTTCTGGTTATGATGATTGGTTTGTGTTTGTAGATTCCCTGACTTACGACTTCCAGATCTAGTGACGTTGCTGGAATGATCTATGAGACCTAGGTGGCCAAGTTGTCTGTAGTTCTGGTCATGATGATTGGTTTGTGTTTATAGATTCCCTGACTTATGACGCCCAGAACGAGTGAAGTTGCTGGAATGATCTATGACACCTAGGTGGCCAAGTTTCTGTGGTTCTGGTTATGATGATTGGTTTGTGTTTGTAGATTCCCTGACTTACGACTTCCAGATCTAGTGACGTTGCTGGAATGATCTATGACACCTAGGTGGCCAAGTTGTCTGTTGTTTTGGTCATGATGATTGGTTTGTGTTTGTAGATTCCCTGACTTATGACGCCCAGAACGAGTGATGTTGCTGGAATTATCTATGACACCTAGGTGGCCAAGTTGTTTTTTGTTCTGGTCATGATGATTGGAACGAGTGATGTGGCTGGAATGATCTATGACACCTAGGTGGCCAAATCGTCTGTAGTTCTGGTCATGATGATTGGTTTGTGTTTATAGATTCCCTGACTTATGACTTCCAGATCTAGTGATGTTGCTGGAATGATCTATGACACCTAGGTGGCTAAGTTGTCTGTTGTCCTGGTTATGATAATTGGTTTGTGATAGATTCCCTAACTTATGACGCCCAGAACGAGTAACGTTGCTGGAATGATCTATGACACCTAGGTGGCCAAGTTGTCTGTAGTTCTGGTCATGTTTATAGATTCCCTGACTTATGACTTCCAGATCTAGTGATGTTGCTGGAATGATCTATGACACCTAGGTGGCCAAGTTGTCTGTAGTTCTGGTCATGTTTATAGATTCCCTGACTTATGACTTCCAGATCTAGTGATGTTGCTGGAATGATCTATGACACCTAGGTGGCCAAGTTGTCTGTTGTTTTGGTCATGATGATTGGTTTGTGTTTGTAGATTCCCTGACTTATGACGCCCAGAACGAGTGACGTTGCTGGAATGGTCTATGAGACCTCATCTCGCCGTAGAGTTTCCGATCGGCAGCGCATATTGCGTGATTAATATCGGCTCGGAACCGCCTCCTGTTTAACTTCTCCCACCTTGACCGCGTATTTTGTATATTTTACAGTGAATTATTTGTATTAAATGTATATATTATTGTACGTTTGTTATTGTTTGTTGATATCTTTTTAGTATTTATTTACTAATCAATAAATTAAGCGATTTAATTTTCTATTTATTTTAGTTTTGTAGCATTGTGTGAACTGCAATACTATTTATGTTAGACTGTTTGCAAGTGTAAGTTCCTGTTAAGTTTCCCTATTTTCCGCTAACATTTGATGTTTAAGGTTTAATTAATTTATGGATATTTCATGAGGTGTATGACAGTTGGTTTTCACTGTCAAAGTAAGGTATATTCATTTCCTTATCGAATCACATTTTTAAAAAGAGATGTAAAACATATTATTGTTTAAATATTTCCAGACTTTTCTACTCTGTTTGGTTGGTGTATTTTTTTATTTCATTTTAAAGTGTAGAGTTATTATTTAAGTTATTTAATATATTTATTTGTTTGAGATTTACTGTAAAATATCATACAATTTTTACTTTAAATTTACTACTACATTTTAAATATATCTTTCCTTTTGTCTAGCATTTTCCAGCAGTAAACACTTAACAAACTGTCTCTTTAAGTGTTCTGTAGTTTTCTTAAAATATTATGATTTTGGTTAAGTTAAAAGAACCATTTTAGTACAGTAGACATCCTCTTTACTGGCCACCTATAAAGGTCGATGAGCTTTTTTTTAAATCATAGATAAAAGTGAGCAATCGAGAAATTTTAGAATTCTTCCCTAAACGTTATACAGAAAATACACCTGCACAGAGAAGTGAGTCACAAACACGCTTTTGGGAATAATATCCGCTTTCAGCCGTGGTATGTTGGGGCGGAAATATACTTGTGACGAGCAAGGAATAGCCTGAACGTCGAGCACTGTGCGGAAATTCCAATTGCACAGGGCACAGGGTCTTCCTCCACCATGAGCGTTGTAGTAGATGAGAGTGAGGGGTGCGGTGTGAAATTTTGCCCTAGACACCTTCGACACCACTTAACTGTACCCTCTGTTGGTTATGTCAAATTATGTTCATTATAACTGGCCTACCATATGAGTATTTACTCCCTTTCAACCAGCTATATATCATTGCTTTAAGAGTCCTTGGAGGCTTGTGGCCATCTGTTAATTTCTTTAATTTCAAACAGCCGCTGAAGAGTAATTTACCATCTCAAATTATTTTTTTCAAATACCAAAGTGATTGTAATTGAAATATTTATCATACTGTGAGATTATAAATTTTCTTTGTAGTTTTAGCGGATTTTCCGTATAGGGAATAAGCTATTTTAATTGTTTTATGAGTTAGAACGCCTAGGCTCCAAGGACTCTTAACTATTAATGTTTGCCAAAAGGTGTAACAGTAATCGTTTTTCTGATCTTCAAATCAAGGTCACAACTAAGACCTGTTATACTGCATATCTTCATCGTTCTTTCAATAAATCTCAAGGTCAGTTTATCCGACCAATACTTTATACAACGGTTCTTAAGAGGGGTCTGCTGTACTATGTTTAGAAAGTAATATCCAAAGGAAATTTGTTTTAAAGAGGCAGAAGATGACTTTAAAATAATTCAATTTTTCAATGTGTTATTCATGATTTTGAAGCAATACTCCCTGGAATATAACGTTTCCCTACTGCACTGCTACTTTAACCAAACATGACTAAAACTCCAGTTTAGATAACAATCTTACAATAAATACTTGCTTTAATTAGAAAAATAGTCGATAGTAATCAAGAGCTATTTAGCACATAATAGGTTAGGATTTTGATTACAGGATTTTACAAGTTTGATAAGTATACTAAGCATTTCAATAGTTTTATATCTTTATCAGAGAGAGGCCTATTTTTGACAAAGGAGGACTTATTGCAGCTTATGATACATAATTACTTGGTGGTTCTTTTTACAGGTATGTGTTTAAAGTTTCAAAAATTACGTTGAAAATTTTAATTTTAACACACATCATATACGTATAATTTTAAATTTGAAGAATTCGTATTATCAACGGTATAGCTATAAAGTAAACATAATTCATTATTAGTTTTACGAATATTTCAATTGATTTGTTACAATCAGCTGTGTGGCAGCAAAATAAAATCATGTAAAAAGTGTGAAAAGAGTAAATTATGAATTTTTCCTACAGTTGCCTAACAATGTACATGTTCTCTCACTGATTTGAGAAAGCAAAGTGGCCAATTCGCTCACCAGTGAGACAATGTTAACATTGTCTC